GGAACGACTTTCGGTGAATTATATTTTGTCGTGAGGACATTTTTCGACGAAACAAGTAGAAAACTTCCTTGGAATTCCAAAATGAGCAGTGTGTTAGAAAATTCTAAGGAACTAAAGACCCGATTATACATGGACGAGCAAAACTCTCGCATAATTAGGACCTAATGCGGAAACGTGAATAAGTCTGTACTAACCTCCGGCCATTGATATTGTTCAATTGATAACCTGAATCGTCGAGCATTGAACAGTAGGTGAAAGGATATCTCTAGCCAATTGCCCTCTCGAACATGATGGTGTGTTTTCGATATATGAGAGGGTTTAGCTTAGAAGACCCTTTTATGTCCATCGCACCCATTCATACGACTTCTTCCATCAAGAAGTCATGCCTTTTGAGCAGTCACAATATAATGGACAATTATCACGCAACATAATATGGAGAATAAACGTTAATGAAATTAACTAAATGTGAGAATAATAGACCGAATGTGAGATCACATTATGGAGATTATAGCACAATGTTTTTTTGGTCCACTATCTCTCATAAGGTAAAATTCTCCTTTTCAGAAAACTTGACTGGAATGCCAAATAGTAGTGCTCTTTTTGTCCATCAAGGGTAATTCTATTTTTCGTCCTTTAACTTATGTATTTTTTTTCAAATCAAGTTCGTGAACTTCTAATTAATTTATCTAATCAAGTCAAGCGTCCAACACCAATTCTGATAAATTCGAACTTACGTGGTTATCGGACCATGCCAAAGTTCGAACAGACAAGTCCATGCCAAAAGGTGCATCCTTACAGACTATTTAATTTGAGTGTAATTATTCGATCCACGCAAAATTACATAAGATACCAAAACGCGTTTCTTCCACCTTGTTCAAAAGACACAATGGAACCAATTTAAAAAAATCAAAAGAAAGTTTTGTCTAGGAAGCTTTGTCTTCTCCCGTCGTAGAAGAGGTGAAAAGAGAAGGACAAAAATATTTTGATTAGAAAACTTGCTTGGACTTCCAAAATGAGCAGTGCAGCGTCGTCTTGGGCCACCATATGCTAACGGTAAGTTTTTACTTTTCCTCTCTTAATTTAAACTTTTTCTTTCAATCAAGTTCTTGAATTTTTAATTTAGTTAATCAATTCCTTAAACTTGCATAAATTTTCTAATCAAGTTTGACCTTCGGCGCCGATTCTGATAAGTTCGATCTAACGTGACTATCAAACCTTGCCAAAGTATGACGTGGAAAAAAAACTTGCCTCGCCGTGGGATATCCAAGGGGACTTTTCCAGAAAAGTGCGAATTGGAGAGATTAAGGTATCGTAACCTGGAAAGATTGCCGAAGCCGTATGAAATTGAAGAAGAGTTGAAGTCATTCCAAGCAAGATTGAGCGATTCCAAGTGGAGTAGGCGAAAGAGGCTGCTGTTGGAAGTTTATGGTACCAAAGAGACAGCTACTGCGAAGGTCAGGGCCAATCACTTGACCGGTGGTCTCGTCGCACTCTACGCCATCCCAAGATCAACAATCTCATGTCCATCTAGAGACCATGATTCAACCTTCGGATAAACACAAAGAAAATCTACTCTAGTGGTTCGAAAACTTCTCTTAAATTCCATCAAGGTTGAGCTCTCATACGGATGGCATAGTGACATAGCAAGTGAAGTATGAATCATTAGGAGGACGATCCAGGTAAGAAGCGCATAGACTAAGGATGCCATGATTTTTTTGTTTTGGTTGCTGAAGTTGGCTAATGTATGCGAGGTAAAGTGCGATTGAGAAGCTTTTATAGACAGCAATAACTGGTCACATTCATTGGAAGTTAGCGCTACTTGCATCACTTGTTGTATGTGGAAAGAGGCATTCTTACATAGATCATTGATAACATCTGTCTTTGATATGAACCCCGTACCAAAAAATAGCATGATCCAGACATGGACCTTGAAGAAACAAAATCACGCATTGTCCATTTAAATTATCCAATACATCATCTTTGTCTACTTTTCTAGTTAAATCGCACACTCGTAATTGCTACACAAAAATAACAAGGTGTTGGTTTAGATAGTTAGATAGTTTGCTCGTCTCCTTGTGGTCTTGGGTATCAAGCCTTGTTGAGAGCGCTTTAAACTAAAATCCTGAATGCACTGAGTCAATATAAGAGAGGGCGCCCTTACGATCACCCAGGGAAGTGAACTAATCAAGGTGTGTGAAAACTGCCCCGTCCCAACTACCGCTTCATTGCTAAATTTGAATTTAAAAAAAAAATGCTGCATAGAAGTGATTGGCCAGATAACTTATACCAAAATATAATGAACGAATGGATAAATATAATATGTGTATGGATGTTATTCATGTAAGCTTTCATCCTTACTTAGCTATCTTCAATACAACATTGATCAATTAATTAGTTGGATGAAACAACATTTTAATTGTCTAGATTGAACTCGACTAATTACAAATGACTTGAGCTAACAAGTTTTGTATAATTAGTGTATTCTTGATACCATATCCATTAAATATCATACTATACAATTTACATTTACAATTGAACAGGACTATATAGACTCCATGCAAAAATAAATAATCGTGATTTTCAAAGATATTTTGTCATTATTTTTATGTAAAACGAGGTGAAGATACGAAATCTGAAAATTTGCAATCGGTGACTACGATATTTTAATTTGATGATTCGAGAACTAGGTGTACTTCTAGGATATGTAGAACGACTCCTGCTCGTCAATCTAAAAAATGGGCAACGATCTTTTTGTGGGTCTATCGATCTTGGTCTTTTTTGTGGAAAAAATACAAGATGGCAATTTAGGGGACCGCCTATGCAATTATGATTGCCCATGAACGATAATCACGGCATGCACGACAATTCAACCTAATAGGTGCCTTGCAAATGTGTGACCATTTTTTTCCCTTTCGAAAAGGAAAATGCCTATTTGCTTATAAGCCTTACCATTATGTTCAAAGAAAAAAAACAGGCGGTGAGACTTAGGCAATGTGTTGAAATTACAAAACATCTATGGCAAGACATACATACTAATGGTTGATCATAATCGTCACTTTATCATAATCGTCACTTTATCATGACTTCAATCTCTCATGTGGATTGTTGATTCATATATAGGAAGCTATAGAAATAATGACCCATGGGGAGTCAGGCGGCTCGACCCACTGAATCTGAATGTGCCCGTTATTTACGTCGAAAATATCCACATTTTTCACTTATTTGTATTAGGTGATATCTCGCGTCCGATTTCTCCCATAGCTCAAATTTGCATCTTTGATCTGATTTGAGGTAGGCCATTGACAGTGAAACTGAAGATGATAGGTCACCCAAAGTAAAATAGTGAGCCCAGAATGAGAATACTTTGGCATTTTGCCTTTAGTCACCCCACGAGTCCTGTCACATGAAATTTTGGAGTGGCTAAATGAGAAGCCTCAGAATTCCTATCCATGAAAATTGCGTACCGTAAAGGCTACGGCATTACAATCTCCTCTGTCTCTTCTATGACATAAGTGCTTTAATAACAAAGACAAAAATCAAATTAAGAAAGAAAGACCATATCATGTCAAACTCATTAGTGTACATTGTTTATACTTGGGAAATTTGATCTCGATGTTCCATACATGCTGTTTCACTCAGAAAGTGAGAAAATCTTTCACCAAATAGATTGATTTTGTTTTATTGTTTTTTTTATAAGGAAAGGATCTTGTATTGTTCTTGGACAAAAAATTACTTGGCTAGAAATTGAAAGACGAAATGAAGAACAGGTTATAGAATTTAAAGTGCTAGAAAGTAAATGTACGGGACATAAGACCGAACGAAAAATAATTAAACTTCATTGTTTAATGTTTGGGAAAAAGTGCGTGAAATATTCATGGTGAGTATTTATAGCCCACTAACAATAGTTGCATATAAGCAATTAGTACTTCTAAATACAAATACTGCTACAGACCTTTCGTGATCACATGCATACATTCCGTGCATTGATAATCATTATTCACAAGAAGTTATTGGGATAATCAACTGTCACTTGGTACTGAAACCATCGTCTAGTGTTGAAATTGACACATCTCACTTGTCTTCTAATTCCAACACTTGAGCAAAATTTGCAAATGACAAATCATCAATGATCGATTTCAACTGGCAATGATATCTATTGACAATTTCTCTCATTTGACAATCTTACTAAGCTATAATTTAGTACTCTCTAATCAACCCCCTTTTCCACAAATGACCTCTTGGATAGTCGGCCAAACTCATCACTTGTCAATAATAAAAGTTAGTCAATTTTTGGTGTAAACACATGCTTTGTTAATCCAATGTGTCATGTCATTGAGAGATCGGCCTTGATACGGCTCAAGAGGAGTCTTGGAATCAACCGAGCAGGCTCTCGTCATGTTTATCCGAAGCTCCAATCATAGTCATCACTAGGTGGAAATAGAGATGCTCATGGGAGGGCTGTGGAGGGCGACGAATTCAGAGATCACATTGCCAACCTTGACCGTAGTAGCAGTTGTCTCTCCAATACCATACAACACCGGTCTTTTTAAAAAATCTAATCCGTTGAGACGTAACGTGTGTAACGCAAATACTAACGGACTTTGCAATTCAAATTTAACGGGAGAAGAAGAGATTATACGATTGTAAGTCCGAATTATTCCCAATTACCAAATCTTTGACCAATCATCTTTTCTTAAACATATTTAATTGTCCTTTCTCTCTCTTGAATGTTTTTTTTTGGTCGAATCTCTCTCTTGAATGTACAAATAGAGGGAAAAGTTGTAGCTGCACCACCCTATCCGGCCACGGCGCCCCTAATGTCGCCGGAAAGAAAAGGGCCCGCACCGAATCTTATTGGGCCTTGGGCTTTCGGCCCACCATGCTGGTCAAGAAACAGCCAAAAGAATCGGGTCAGGCCCAAAACCCGTTTTCTTTTTCGGATCCAATACGTGAGCCCTAGGGTTTTACGTACGAAGCGATATAAAAGCTTCTCTCCGTCGGAACCATCTCACCGCCTCGGTTCTCAAGCTCCGAAGCAGGTACCGTTCGAGCTCGATCCTTTGGAATTATCGGTGCTGATCATCGCGTGATTGATCTTCGGCCTCTTGGGTCGCTCCTTCTTCGGTTTTGATTCGCGTCCGATTCGCTTCGATCCCATTTCGGGTTCGAATCTGTTTGCTTTTTGCTCCGTTTGGGATCCGCTTGTTCGTTTGAAAGCTTCGGCATTAGTCGCAGTCTTCGTCGTCGTTCGCGAGCTCAATCTGTTGCGTATGGCCTTGTTCGCCCGATCTAATTGGGCCGTTACGTGTTGTGAGATGCGAGGAGGTGTTTTCTTCACGAATCACGGGTGTTTGTTTTCCTGCCGAACGTATTGTGTTGGAAATGCCGTGTGTTGTTCTCGCTCGACCTCGTCTGTTGGAATTGTTGTTGAAATTATTGTTGGAAGTAAGTGTTTCCATTTTCTGGGCATGAGGAGGTTGAAATCAAGTTTTGATTTTTATCTGATTGTACTGCTTACTTGTTGGAATCGTTCGCAATGTAGCATTTTGTTGGTCTAGTGTGCAGGGGGAGTGTGAAGGTTTGAGAATGTCGATGCCCTTCGAATGGGGATTGTAGTTTTAAATCCAGACATGTTTCTTGTAGTTTTAAATGAGATTTACTCGGATTTCTGCAGTCTAGGAATGTCCCGATTTGAGCTCAAACATGTTGAAGCTTATTTAAGCTGTTAGTTGACAAAATTTAAAACTCACTATTGTTTGGTTTACTCGCTTACTGTGTCATTCTTATTCTGAATTGAAATTATTGTGTCGGCAATGTGGAAGATACTGTGCTTATGATATTTAGTTTTCTGAATTTCTATATAGGCTCTGAAAGCCAGTTTTAACATTGTGCAGAGTGTAAAAAACAAACTTGCTGTACTTTTCGTTAATGTGTTTGAATCATTTAAACTTTTGGTGATAACATATAAAGTACATCTCAGAGCCATCTTAACCTTAAAAGCTTTGTCTTTTTCATTTTAGGTAAGTCATGGTTAAATATAACAATGTCGTGCCAAATGGGCACTTCAAAAAGCACTGGCAAAATTACGTCAAGACCTGGTTCATCCAGCCTGCGAGAAAAGCTAGAAGACGCTTAGGTAGGGGTGTCAACCAAAACCGCGCCGGCCCGGCCCGACCCGCGCCGGCCTGGTCCGGCCCTAAAATTTAGAGTATTTTAGGGTCAGGCCTTAATCTTCTTCGAATATGGCCCTAAAATTTGGGGTATCATTAGGATTGGGGTAGGGTCGGGCCGACCCATTAACACTCTGGGCCAACCCATCTCCTCTCTCAGTCTCTCCCATTCTCTAGAGATGAAAAATCCCTAGATCTAAGCCAGCCGATTGCCGACGGAATCGATCGCCTCCATCGCCGTTTCACGACAGCTTCAGGTTTCTTCTGCAAGCCTCCATCGCCACATCTGCGACAGCTTCAAGTTTTTTTGCTGTTTGTTTCTTGCAAAAAGTTGATTCACGGCGATCTCATTCCTATCTTGGTGGATTGAAAAACTTTGCAGGGTATCGATTTGGTCACCGGAGGCAAGAGCAAGAAGACCAAGCGCACGGTGCCGAAGTCCGACGATATCTATCTCAAGCTTCTCGTCAAGGTCTGTCGGTGACTCCACAACGCGGTTTCGTCTTCCTTTGCATGTGCTTCGTTTCGTGTGAAACCTCAAGCGTTCATCGTTAGGCTTTTATTGTGGGGCGGAGGTTCAGCGTTAGTGCAATTTGAAATTCGTTTCCGGAATGCTGTAAATCATGGAAGGAAATGAATCTGTGAGCTGAGACATTTAGGGTTTCATTTTAGTCATTGATGTCTCCGTGCGATCTTTTGCTTCGATTGACTTTTTGCTGGTCTTGTTTTCCTTTTTTAGGGTTGGGAAGACTTCTCTGATGAATCAGTATCTTTTTGAAACCCAAATCTCCTCTTTCTTTTTGGGCTTGATTGATTGATTGATTCATATATATTCTGAAACCCAGATCTCCTCTTCCTTTTGCTTCAATTGACTTTTTGCTGGTCTTGTTTTCCTTTTCAGGGTTGGGGGACCGCTGATTGTGCTGTATAGGTGTGACATTCCGAATTTCGGCCCATTTTTGGGATTTATAAAACGTGTAATTCGTCAGTGTGCTTATAGTAAAAATCTCGCCCGGGAACTGATCACTCCCGGTTATTATTTTAAAATTGAGATTTCGCTAGAATCGCACTCGATCGAATTTGGCCGTTATTTAGAGCCCAAACTTTGGTGTCGAATTTCTTGGAGTTTCGGGACGAATTTAATTGGACGGTGTCGATATTATTGTGACCAGCCTCGATATTGCCCGGAATATGTGAAAAGTGGATTTTTGATCGGATGCGGATTTGGACTAGTAGACCTCCCTCGTGGTAGTTTGATTTAATTAATTTGGCCTTTGTCCCTTATTATACTCTAGGATTAATTTGGACCGCCGGATCGTTTTCGGTTTTAAATATGGGCCGTTGTATCGCAATGATTATTTGAATGAACGTTTGTTTCTCTCTCCTCTCTGCTGCGTTGCTGCTGTGCACGTGTTTTTCCCCCCCTTGTCATACTCTCTCTCCTCTCTCTCCTCTTTTTCTTCTTTTCTTCTTTTCTTCTTTCTTCCATTCTTCTTCTCTTCCTTCTTCTTGGCCCACGACTGCTCCAGCGTCTGCTTCTGCTTCTTCTCCTTGCTGCCCGTCACCGTCCGCCCGAGCTCGCCTGACCACCGCGTGCCGACGCCGATCCGCTCACTAGCCGCCGCGCCGTCGCCGCCGAGCCCCCCCTCTCCTTCTCCTTTCCCTATTTTTCCCAGCTGAGCCGCACCGTCGCCCCTGTCCACCAGCTCGCGACTATGCTTGCAGCTCGCCGGTATTGCTCAGCCGCTCGCCGGCCGGCCCTGCGTCGCCAGCCGCCGCGCCGTGCCGCCCCGACGCCGTCGTCGCCGCCCCCTCCTTAGCCCCATCTCCCTCTACCTCTCGCTCTCGCCCTCACCGCCCCAGCTCACCTCTCCCCTCTCCTTCGCACCGTCGCCGTCGCTGCCGCGTCGCCGTCGCCATCCAGCTAGCCCACCGGCCAGCCCGGTCGGCCGACCCGGTCGCCCCGACCCAGCCGGCCCGGTAAGCCCAGCCAGGCCAGCCCAGCCTAGCTCGCAGCCAAGTCACCCCGGGTCGTGGCCGAGCCGTTGCCTGCTCGCCCAGGCCACGTGCCCGACGCCTTGCCCGTTCAGCCCTAGGCGCCTCGCCCGTCCAGCTCGCCGTTCGCCCCGGCACGCCGTTCGGCCACCGCGCCTGCGCGCCAGGCACGCCGATAGGGCCACCGTGCCCGCGTTGGCCGGTCAGCGCACCCGTTTGGCCCGCGCCCGTGCCTAGTCCGGCACTGTTTACCCGGGCCATTTTAGGCCCGAGCCGATTTTCTCCGGGCCAAAACCAAGTAAGTGACTTCCTAAACCCTATGTAGTACTTTGGGTACTTTATGGACTTATTTAGGGTTTAGAACGGTTAGGGCACGGTTTAATTTAATTATATTGCTATATAATTGTGTTAGTTGGATTGGATGAGATTATATGCATGATTTGGATGTTCATATGTGGCCGATTGAATGTCGAGTTTGTGGGTTTGTGTGGCGTGCCGTGAATTGAATTGAGTTGTGAATGTGGATCGTTGGGTGCAATTGGCGTGAAATTGATTGAATTGAATGGCGTGTGTATGCATGTCGATTATAAGCCCGGATTGATCGGAGGGCTACGGACTTGGGACGTGTTGACGGCGGTCCGTGTGAAGGCATGAATGGCCGTGTGCCAAATGGATGCGGGCTTGAGACGTGTTGATGGTGGCCCGTTAAAGGTGTGTTGGACCGGGACGTGTTTACGTCGGTCATTAGAATTGAGCCCGGATTGATCGGAGGGCTACGGACTTGGGACGTGTTGACGGCGGTCCGTGTGAAAGCATGAATGGCCGGTGTGCCAAGTGGGCCTGAGGCGCAGTGGCGCGGGCAGTGAGAATGGACCTGAGGCGCAGTGGCGCGGGTCGTGAGAAAGATGTTCGGCCACGCATGCGAATTGAGTGTGATTGAATTGGCTGGTTGAGCGTGTGATTGAATTGGTTGGTTGAATTAGTTGGATTGATTGAGTGCAAGTGTGGTTGGTGTTTGAGCGATTGTGATGTGTTATTTAATTACTATTATTGTATTATCACGTTGTGACTAACGTGTAGAGTTGGCGTGGGCTTGATGACGAGGTAAGTACAATGATGCGAATTTTATATGTTATGGGGTAAATTGCATGTATGACTTGTCTGGGTACGCATTGGCCTATGTGGGGTATAGGGGGTTGCTTATTGAGACTTGTTCTCACGGTTATTATATAACCATTTCAGATCCGCGACCATGAGTGATTGGAGACGCTGCAAGGGTATCTCGGAGATCGAGGACGGGTTAAGTACCCGGTATTTTGAGTTCCCCTTTTTGTAGAGGAGTTAAGTTTGTGAACTATTGTCTCTTTTGAGGAATGTGGTTCTGTTGTTGTGGCCTAGCTTGGGATTGTCTTTTTGTGAGCGTCGTATGTATCTGCCAAGAGTAGGAATTACAGTTATTGTTTCGTGCTACTGCTACCCCTTGTCCTTATTATTTGTCTGGGTTGTTTCTATTTGTTTCCGCGCGTGCCTAATCTCTGATGTTTGGGTTGGGTCGGCGACGTGCCTGGGACGTCGCATTCAATGATCGACCATCGAGGGGTGTCGCGAGCCCGTTAGGGTTCAGGGCGTGACAATAGGTATGTGAATCGCAAGTTCAGCAATCAGTATAAGGCGACGATCGGAGCTGATTTCTTGACGAAGGAAGTTCAGTTTGAGGATAGGTTGTTCACATTGCAGGTGAGCCCCAAAAAAAGGGTGAATTTTTGGCATGGTTCCTAGTTTCTTTTCCGTGTAAATTGTATCATTTGAGCATGGATTTTGAATTGCATCTGTTGTGCTCATCGGTTTCTGCGAATTTAATGGCCCTTATTTGATTAAAACGATGTTGATTAGTTGGTGACAACCTTTGGCTTTCCTGCTCTGAAAAATTTACCATGATTACTCTGATACCGGGCTTTGTCTACATAGCATATGACTCAAGCTCAATGACCCATGGACTGCGTAAATCTCTGTTTCCCACTTTTTTTTCCCGATAAATCTGGTTACCTGGAATGCAAGAACTCACCATTTTGCCGCTTAAGGGACCTTTTTTTGCAAATATATGTCGTCCAGATTGGTTGAGCCAATGCCAATACAATCAAATTGCTTAGGTGATTTATTACAAACTATTTGGTCTAACAAATGGTCTGCTGTTTTCAACATGGAATGCTATTATCAATCTCACTTAGATGTTAGCAACAGCATAACAACTTATCACTATTAGCATGGTGGCTGCATTCCCTTTGGGATTTTGTTACTCATAAGGCATATTTGAATCTTAACTAATTATGCAAAATATTACTAGGAAGATATGGTTTCCCTTCTGGGTCCGACTTGGTGAGAATTCAGCTATGCAAAGTTCAGACCTAAATCTCTAAAAAGTCAAAACATGGAGTATATACACGAGGGGGCTCTAATTTGGGACCTATTATGTTGATGAAGATATTTCGAGGGGGCTCTAATTTGCTTTACGTTGCAATCCCTTTGCTTTTCTTTCTTCTTTTTCTCTTTCTTTTTTGTTTGGTGGGTGAAAATTGAAGTTGCTGTTGTTGGGTGTGAACAGTTCCCGAACGAGGTGTGAATTGAGCGTCTCCATTTTTGAATCGGGTGGTTTCTTTCAGTCGTTCAGAGCTTGAGGATTGAGCAGAAGAAAGCCTAATTTAATTGTAAGTTGTTTTAGCAGAGAAGACCTTTGCATGATTTAGTTAATTTTTGATAGTAATTAATTTTTATGCCCTACTCAATGTTTTGTTATATCTCTATCTGTGATAGAATTTGGGAATTCAACATCTTCTTATTTAGTTATGCTGTAATCAACTGGAAATTTTCTTGTAATGACAAAAAAACATTATTATTTTCGTAGTCGTCGTCATTATTATTACTATCATCGCCAACTTAACTAGAAACTTTCTTTTAATGATAACAGCATATTTATCCTTCTTTTTGTCCCCATTGTACTTTATGAATGGTCAATGAATGCTTGTTCTTTTGCTTTGATCAGGGCTGCATACAAAGGATATGCTGACACAATCAAATTACTTCTTTTTAGAGATGCATCCCAGGGAAGACAAGATAAAGAAGGTGTAGTGAGTATACGCATGGCAATCTTACTTCTGTTTTGTTGGTCCTCATGATGAGATGGTTTATCAGTAGCTCAAATCCATGTATAAAACCCATGAGCACTTCTGTTGGATAATCTTAGAAGATGTTGTGATTTTGGCATGCTGTATTAGGTTTTGCACTTTATTCGATCAAAGCAAGTTTTAATGCTAAGAATGGGAGCAATCATTGTTTCTAATGCGGTACTTTTTTTGTATCGTGTGTTGTTTCCAATCTATCTGCGAAAAAAAAAGGGCCCGACCCGACCCGGCCCGGCCCAAACCTTGTGGTGTACGGTGAACAAGGTCTTGGGTGGGTCTGGGCGGGTCAAGCATGACCCTATAGGTTTCGGGTCGGGTCGGGTATCAAGAAAGCCTGACCCGACCCGACCCATTGACACCCCTACGCTTAGGTAATTAAATTGCTCCCTTTATATCGAAGTGCTGTCATTCTTATTCTTGGAGCATTCTGATGTTCTTTATTTTGTGCCCAGCTCGGCTAAAGAAGGCTGTGAAGATTTTCCCGAGGCCAATAGCGGGTCCACTCTGACCAGTTGTTCGTGGTCAAACCCTGAAGTATAATATGAAGGTCAAACCCTGAAGTATAAGGGAAATCTTAGGGCGCGCATGGAATCCATTCTGGAACAAAATTTCTACTCCAGAATGCATTCCGGAACAGAAATGCGTTTGTTAAAAAATTTCCGGAATGCATTCCGGAGGAATTTTTGCATTCTGGAGCAAAAACGCGTTTGGTAAAAATACATTCTTTTTTTGGTTCCAGAATGAGTTTTTGCTTCCAGAATGTGTTTTGGGCCAAAAAAAAGAAGCTAGTTTTTGTAGCTTCTTGATTCCGGAATGCATTCTCCCTATTTTCTCACAAATTTTTTTTTTCAGAAAATGCATAAAAATTGAAAAATTCTAGAAAAATTCATAAAAATTTCCAGAAAATAAAAAAAAGTCAAATTTCGGGAAAATATGAAATTTGGAGAATTTTAAAAAAAATCAAAAATTTCAAAACTTCACAGAATAGCTTAAAATACATGTGACCACCCACTTTGAGTGAAATTTAAATTTTTTGAGGTGCCCAAAAAAAATCAAAAATTTCAAAACTTCACAAAATGGCTTAAAATACCTGTGGCCACCTACTTTGAGTGAAATTTTAATTTTTTGAGGTGCCCAAAAAAAATAAAAATTTTCAAAACTTCACAAAATGGCTTAAAATACTTGTGGCCACCCACTTTGAGTGAAATTTAATTTTTTTGAGGTGCCCAAAAAATTAAAAAATAAATAAAAAAATTTCAAAACTTCACAGAATGGCTTAGAATATCTGTAGCCACCCACTTTGAGTAAAATTTAAATTTTTTGAGGTGCCCAAAAAAATAAAAAAATAAAAAAATTTAAAACTTCACAAAATGGCTTAGAATACCTGTGGCCATCCACTTTGAGTGAAATTTAAATTTTTTAGGTGCCAAAAAAAATTTTAAAAAAATAAAAAATTTCAAAACTTTATAGAATGGCTTATAATACATGTGGCCACCCACTTTGAGTAAAAATTAAATTTTTTTAGGTGCAAAAAAATCAACAAATCAAAACAGATTGTTCAAATCAATTTCTGAGTGAATTAGTCATGTTTTACCAAACAGATTTCTCCTTTAAATCAATTTCTAAGCAAGAATTCCAGAAATCAATTTCTGGCAAGAATTTGATTTCTGGAGGAGAATGGTTACCATTCGTACCCTTAGTCTCTTGAATGAGTACTATGCCTGGGAGTGCTATTTCTCAGGATCGATTTCCTCTTCATTGGGGAATCTTTCTCATCTCACTGCACTGCTCCTCAACGGAAATAACTTGCAAGGTCGAATCCCTATTTCCTTTGCTGATCTTACCCAGCTAACGCTCTCTTCCAATAACTTGAGTGGTGATACTTTGGAGTGGGTGGTCAACTTGACAAAACTTACCATCTTCGACATTTCAGGTAATAGTTGAGGAAGTTTTCTTTTCTTTTTGGTCGGAAAGCTGAGGAAGTTGAGGGAGAAGAAGCCATGGTTCAGAACCTGGCCGAAGTTGCCGAGCCGGAGGGCCTTCTGGCTCATGCCTATCGCTAGACTCGAAGCTCTTGAGGCAGCGATGGTGGTTTTGCTCGTGGCCATCCCGGGGGGTTTTTGGTGGTGGTCCTGGAGGGAGTGAGCGGTGGTGGAGCTTGAGTGTCGGTGGTTCCATGGATATATCGAGAGAGAGAAGGAAAGAGATCCGAGAGGGAGAGGGACTTTCCAACTTTTTTACGGTGGGCCCCACAGTGCCACTTATCATCACAATTGCACCTATTATTTTCGGGCGACTAGATTTTTTAGCTAGAGAGAAAGATGAAATTGAATTTAATGGTGTAACTAACGCTCCTCGTCTCGTATCTTTTTTTAACCTTATGTTTGGTAGATAATTGGTTAAGCGGTGGATTGCCATCTTCATTTGAGAACCTCAAGCAGTTGACTTGGCTCGGCCTTTCTCGCAACGACTTGCGTGGTGATATTTCAGGCACATTGCGGAATCTGAAGGATCTTTAAGGGCTTGGCCTGGAGTCGCTTAATCTCAATGGCGTACTCAATGTAAATGATGTATTCAAACACAAGAACTTGAGATATTTATATTTGTCCTACAACAATATATCGTTCACCAAGTCATTCATCAATGCAGTTACATCGAAGCTTTACTTCTTATATTTGGATTTGTGCAACTTGACTGAGTTCCCACAGTTTATAGGCTACTTAAGTGAATTGGTGCGGTTAGACCTACGACACAATAGAATCCAAGGGACCTTTCCTAGATGGATGTGGAACAATAGCAAAGAATCTCTCAAGTATATAGATCTTTCTCACAATCTTCTAACCGGCTTCGAAAACGACCAGACCGATCATCTTTTGCCAAATGTGATGTATCTTGACGGTAGTTCTAACTCGCTAGAAACAACACTCCTTGTCCCACCACCCTTGGTCATGCTATACAACATCTCAAACAATTTCCTATTTAGGAAAGTTCCAACATCCATTTGTGAAGTGAGCTCTCTTGCAATGCTCGATTTGTCCAACAATGCTCTGAATGGCACACTTCCTCCTTGTTTGGATAGTATTGGTCCTTTGATTATATTGAATCTCGCGAGAAATAAATTCGAGGGCATGATTCCTCGCATTTACCCAGATGGTTGTTCATTGAGGATGATCGACCTAAGAGAAAACCGACTAAGAGGGATTTTTCCGAGATCTTTAGGAAATTGCTGAATGCTGGAGTATTTGAATCTCGGTGGCAACCAAATTAATGATACATTCCCATTTTGGTTATCGGAATTGGCCCACCTAAAAGTTATTGACTTGTAGTCCAATATGTTGCATGGATCCATAAAAGATAATCTAACCTGGCTTAACTTCACCAGTTTACACATGCCGGACCTATCCAACAACAACTTCAATCGTGAACTTCTTTCCAAGTTGTTAAAGAGTTGCTACGCCATGAAGGTCATCGTTGGTCAAGATAACTTGGCATATTTGAGTCTTTTTAAATGGCTTGATCTATCTTCTGTTTCATTCAATGAAGGTATGGATCATGCGATGACATTAATGAGTAAGGGCACGGAAAGAGAATATGTGAAGATTCCGGATGTCCTCATGGCGATTGACTTCTCCAATAATAAGTTCGAAGGGTTCATTCTTGAACTCATTAGAGATCTAAAGTCACTTCGTATGCTCAACCTTTCAAACACTTTCCTGATTGGTAGCATCCGTCCGTCCTTGGCCAACCTGACAGTGCTTGAATCACTAGATCTATCGTGGAACAAACTTGTGGGAGAGATTCCTCAACAATTAGCCCGCATCACATTTCTTTCGTTTTTCGTTGTCTCTCACAATCGTCTATTGGGACCCATACCGCGTGGAACGCAATTTGACACATTCGGGAGCAAATCATTTGTGATGAATGATGGTTTGTGCGGAAGTCCTCTGCCAAATAAATGGACAAATGGTGACAACGCTCCACCACCACCATCGTTCATAGTGGACAATGAAGAAGAGTGTCTATTCGACTTGGATTGGAGAATCGTGTTGGTTGGCGCTAGAGTCGGGTTTTTGGTTGGTATTGTGCTAGAGAACTTGATCATTGACGAGAAGAGTAGGTGGTTCTTGCACTACTCCAAGAAAATGGCAAATGGATGGAAAAGGTTAGGAAAGCTCTGGTAGACAAGAAAATATGCAGCTAGATACTTAATGCTCTGTGTTTAAGTAGCTTGTTGAGAATAGTTACACATGCATATCTGAAGATTCTAATCTATGTTTGTTTGCATAGTTCAGTATACTATTATGGAGATGCTGTTTTCTTAGTCATGAAACTTACAGTTCTTTAGGTTCTTAGAGGAATGTTTGTCCATAGATACATAAGCAACGTATGAATGTCTCTTGTTGTAATATTACTAGCCAAATGACTCAAGAATATAGAGAATCTAATCTAGGACCTGGTTTATCTATCTTGAATAAGAGCATTTTTTTGAAGCCTGTAAATACTGCCATTTAGAGACGTAATTGAGATGAGTTGATGCTAATGAAAAGCCAATTAATAAACACGGTGGACGATGATGTAAAAAGTTTGGTTATCCATGGAAACCAAGGAGATTGGTGTGAAAATTGTCATGATACTTAAGTAGAAAGGGCTTTCATTTGCTTCAATAATTTATCATTTTTCCGGTTGTTCACGGGCTCAAACTCAAGATTTGTTCTCCACAATTTGAATGTACATTCAAATGAAATTTCATAATAGAAGATTACCAATTTGTGTCATGACAGGATATTCGGTTATTTATGTCATTTTGTGGACGTGATTGATTACAAAGTGTTTATCATAAAAAATGATTGAAAATGTGTCATCCCGTGTCAGTTCAAGCTAAGTCATATTGAGTTCGTGTTTTTCTCGGTAAATTCGTGTCGTGTTCGAGTTACGTTGATATCTAGGAATTGCCACTTCCCATGCTCTTCGAGGTATTAGCTTGCAATCAAAGTGAGTTACCAAGAGCTTTTGAAACTAAAATTTTAATCTAATATAAAAATGTTCGCTTAAAGAGCATACATTTAAATGAGTGATTTAGTTGTATGAGTATAAATGTAAACATGAAATCTAACCAAATAACGATTTAAACAAAACTTTCTTATAATTCGTGCCAATTCTTTTAATGAGAATGACGAAAAATATGGAGAAAGTGGAGACATAAAGGGTACGAAAGTGCGTACCAATGAATTCAGAAAAGACCTTATTGTTTACTTTTTTTGAGTTTAACAGTTATTTAATACTCAACAGTCTGAATATTTAAAAACCTACACATATGAACTTTTCAATTTACTAAATCAATGAAAAGTTATTGTAATAGAACTTTGTGACTTTGAAATTCATTTTTCTCAAATCATCTTCTTAAGAATAATGCGAAAAAAAGTCCATATGACTCAACACGTCATGGCGATATTTAATAATCTATTACATGCATGAAATGTAAAATTCAAATGCAACACGTTGAGTCGTTGTTATAAAAGGTTTGATGATTTCATGAAAAATAATATTCTGCCATTTCATGTTGTTTTTCAATATAGAGTAGAATAAAAATTTGCTCTTTTCTGCTGCTAATTCGCTTTTGAGCTTGATAAATGCATTAATTATGAAGTACATGTGATCCTCCATGACCTATCGATTCATAAAGAGAATGTCACGGACTTCTCGATGCTTAGTGAAGGGCATGTCATAGAACAGAAATTAATGAATATTGTAAAGTAATGGGCTACTCTATCCACGCAAAACTTTGGCCGGGAAGAGTCGGCTCCATGTTGAATTAGGGAAAAAAAGAAGGAAAGGATAAGAGGGTTGATTTGAAAAACTTGCCTGGAATTTCAAGGTGAGCGGTGTGAACTTCAGTCCACTATCTTTTAAAGGGAAAATTTGACTCTTAATTTATGTGCTTTTTTTGGTTAAGGTCTTCAACTTTCAATTTATCTAATCGAGTCTAGCCCCTAGCACCAATTTTAATTAATTTGAACCGACGTTTCTATTGGACCGTTTCAGAGTACGAAGTGGGAAAGAAAAACTTGCTCCTATGGACTAGCTAGTGCCAAAAAGCGTTTCCTCAAGAGAATATGTAGGTTGATTTTAATTATTCAGTCCACATAAAACTTATGTAAAGTGCCAAAATGCGAGTCCTTATTTTCCACCTTCTAAGGACACAAAGGTCCATGGAACCAATTAAAGGAACTAAAAGAAAGCTTTGTCTAAGAAGCTTATATAAAGTGTCAAAATGCGCGTCCTTATTTTTGGTCCACTATCTCTTGAAAGGTAAAATTTTTTAATGTATGCATTTTTTCAAGCAAGTCCTTTGTTGCCAAAGCGCACATCCTAACAATATATTTAGTTTGAGTGTAGTTATCGAGTCTACATGAAGTTTATATACAGCGCCAAAAATATGCACCCTTGCCACTAAGGTACCAATTTAGATGACAAGAGAGTTTTCTCATCTCGTTATGATTTTGGGTTCAAATCTTTAGAGAGTACTCCAAGGGTAAAATTATTATGAGAAAGTGTGTTCATGAAACCGCTCGGGGAGATGGAATAGTTGAGGTACGCGAAAGCTAGCTCAAGTACTACCTAATTGGCCATGTACCAAAAAAACGAAAATGCGCCCCCCATTTTCCACCTTGTTTAAAAGACACAAGGGAACTAAGTAAAAGAAACGAAAAGAATATTTTATCTAGGAAGCCTTTGTCCCAACCTGTTGTACAGAGAAGAAAAAGAAAAGGAAAAAGAAATTGATCAATGCTCGACTGGAATTCTAAATAGCAGTGCTCTTTTTGTTCATCATTTGTTAAGGGTAATTTGACTTTTCGTCCTTTAACTTATGTATTTTTTTTTCAATCAAGTCCATGAACTTCTAATAAACCTAATCAAGTCTTTGAACTTGTATAATTTTTCTAACCAAGTCAGGTGCCCAACACTAATTCTGATAAATTAGAACTTACGTGGGTGTCGGACCATGTCAAAGTTCGAGCAAATAAGTCCATGCCAAAATGCGCGTCCTTATAGAATATTTAGTTTGAGTGTAATTATTCGACCTGCAAGAAACTACATAAAATATCAAAATGCGCTTCTTCCACCTTGTTCAAAAGACACAAAGGAACCAATTTAAAAAATCAAAAGAAAGTTTTGTCCAGGAAGCTTCGTCTTCTACCGTCGTACAAGACGTGACAAGAGAAGGACAAAAAAAAATTAGATTAGAAAACTTGCTTGGAGTTCCAAAATGAGCAGTGCAGTGCCGTTTTGGTCCACCATATGCTAACGGTAAAGTTTTACTTTTCCTCTCTTAATTCACACTTTTTCTTTCAATCAAGTTCTTGAACTTTTAATTTAATTAATCAATTCCTTAAAAATCCTTTATTTTTAAGTCCAACCCTTTGGCACCGGGAAAATTACCAAAAAAGTCCTAAACCTTTTGCAGTTGTACCAATTCAGTCCTAAACCTTTTTTTTGGATAAATTCAGTCCTAAACCCTTTGCAATTCAGCCAATTTAGTCCTTTTAGCAGGCCGGAACTGACGTGGACGCCGGCCGGCACTGACGTGGACGCCAGCCGGTGACGTAGCAATACTTTAATATTTTTTTCGAATTATTTTTTTCCTTTCTCTCTTTTTTTTTTCTTTTCCTTCTTCCCCCTGGCCAAACTGGCCAGGGGGAAGCTCGCCGACGAGGTCCATTGGGGAGGCTCGCCGTCGCCGGGCAAGGCGAGGCGACCTCGCCCAGCCTCGCCATGGCTGTGCGACGGCGAGGGCCGGCGAGGGTGGAGCTCACCATGGCTGGACGAGCTCTGCCCTCGCCGTCGCTGGGCGAGATTGGCGTCGCCCAGCCATGGCGAGCTCCGCCCTCGCCGGTCCTCGCCAGATCTGGGTGACGTCGCCCTTGCCGGCCACTCGCCATGGCCGGGCGAGCTCGACCTCGCCCAGATCTGGCGAGGTCGAGCATCGCCGTGGTTGTGCGACGGCGAGGCTCGCCCTCGTTGGCACTGGTGAGGACCGGTGAGGGCGAAGCTCGCCCAGCCATGGCGAGCTCCACCCTCGCCGTCGCACAGCCGTGGCGAGGCTGGGCGAGGTCGCCTCGCCTTGCCCGGCGACGGCGAGCCTCCCCAGTGGACCTCGCCGGCGAGCTTCCCCCTGGCCGGACTGGCCAGGGGGAAGAAGGAAAAGAGAAAAAAAAAAGAAAGGAAAAAAAAAGAAAAAAATTAAAATATTGCCACGTCATTAAAATACGTCCACGTCAGCGCCGGCCGGCGTCCACGTCAGCTCCGACCGGCCAAAAGGACTGAATTGGCGGAATTGCAAAAGGTTTATGACTGAATTGGCAAAAAAAAAGATTTAGGATTGAATTGGCACAACTGCAGAAGGTTTAAGACTTTTTTGGTAATTTTCCCCTTTGGCACCAGTTCTGATAAGTTCCATCTAACGTGGCTATCAAACCATGCTGAAGTATGACGTGAAAAAGAAGTAGCCTCGACAAACAAGGCACCATGGAAAATGACGTAAATGTTTTCCTTTACGGACATGCTGTTGACACCTAAATTTTAACTAGTCATTTAGGAACAATTGCATAGAAAATTAGGGATTACTTTTTTAACCCCTAAACAAAAAATATAATTAGATGACATTGCATATAGATATTAGGAGCATTTCTTTAATAGTTAATTAGGCCCATATAGTTCGCATATCTATCGGACCGACGGCAGATGGACTCGAGCGAATGGTTCCGAGCTTAATTGAATTGATTGAACCAAGCCCATGGCTGAAAATTGCCTCGCGCTTCACACATGTTGGCCAAATTACACGTGTAAAATACACGTGGAGTGCTCAATTTAGAAAAATCAACTAAGCTACTAAGTTACCAAAACTTTGGAAGTTTGAGCAATCACCAAGCTTGTGTGCGAGAGATGGGAATATTATTTTGATCATGAGCATATATTGGTGTATACACTTCGGCCAACAGAGAGTAAATATCGAAAGAAACAAAAGGAAAAGAATAAAGAAGCGGTGGATCTTGAGGAAAGTGGACTAGGGAAGAATCGGTTAATATCAATGAGAATATTTGATTGAAGGACAATATCCAGCAAGGAGTCGGTAAGCAGAGATTATAAATTGAGGTATTTTACACAGAAGAAGGGGAGGGGG